TCGTACCTGATCTCTTCTGGCCTTCGCCGTAACGTACGATCGTCAAGCGATTTGATAATGCTACCGCTGTCTTATTGAATAAAAAACTCCTCAGGTGTCAAGTCCTTGCGATGTCCCAACTGATCGACAGTGAGTTGTGGTATAGAGGCACTCATGGCCTGTCACTGATCGTTTACCCGAACTAACTAGTCGGTTGAAAGGTTACTGTTAGCGTGCACTCTGGTGGTTATTGCACCGAAAATTGTTTGTTGCTTCCCTGAGCAACGGAGCGACGCAGTGCTCATGCGCTTTGAAAGACACTACTTTCGTCTAGCAGCGGAATAGAGTTTAACCCCGGCTCGCACAAGCGTGTGGTCTTTATCTCTTGCATCTCTACAACCTGCAACTCCATAAGTTCTGTTAGCTTTCACTGATAGGGTTCATCTTGCGCGCACCAGAATATAGTCTGTCTCAGAAGCCTTGTGGCGTAATACTATATCAGTGTTTTCCGGGATGCTGAACGATACCCCCGAGCTGACGAAGTTCATAAAAACCCACCGGTTTCACAGCGCCGACCCAATCTAAACTGGCCAAATGTATGGCACCTGCTGTTGTCTCGTCAATCAACTTGAGCGTTATCAATTTTTGTGTTGGGTTCTTTTTTGCTGTAAACAGCTATTGCATTCGAGCCATTATGGTACTTGTGGACACTGGGTTTCGGAGGATGAGTTTATTGTTATGTCGGTTAATTATGGAGATGGCAGCACGCGCGAGTCGTTCGCTGGTTTGCTGTGGTAGGGCCAGTAAGAAGCGTGTGATCCGGCAATCTGGATTCGTGTTGTAACAGAGTCAGGTAAGATGGCTGATGTCTGATCGTCAGTCTTAAAGACTGCGCATGCAGGTACTTTGGCTGAAAGCGTCAAGCAGGATGCCTATATCCCAACGACCAATAAAGTGCCTGTTTCGTAACATGAAAACCCCAGGTTGCATTCTAGACGCTCCAGCCTTTGAGCCAGCAAAGGATGCTTCGCTTTCGGATACGCCGTGGCATCAATGGGGATGCATGCAAAAAACGTGATCATTGGAATTTAACGTCGATTTGTTACGGGGAATGCTTGAGTCTCGTCTTGACTAGGTTGTTCTTACATATTTTGGAAAGTGGAGAGTTGAGTCTATCCATTGTCGCACCCCTGTTCAACAAGGTACCCAAACCAACTGTTCCCACACTTGTGACATGGCTAGTGGCTTCCTTTATATAAGGACGCATGTTCGGAGAGCACCAAGGATTTTGACGCGGTAGGGTTTGCAGTTCCCACATCTTCACACTACGCCAATAGCTCCAGCGGTCCCATCGCCGACCTGTAGTCGCCTTACAGGATCCTCTAGCCCCGTGGGCAGGTTGACTGCTCTAAATTTCCTTGGTCAGAAAGGGATGCCATCGAGATTCATGAATCTTCTCCCTGTCCTCTGTTTCCATACCTCTGGTCGGGCTAGGGTGTACAGTAAACTGTCTAAAAGCACCCTCACCACCAGTGCAGCTAGTCTGTTGTGCTCAACTTTGTCGTAGACATTATCACGAAATGTACATTCCAAGGTATCATGAGTTTGGTTATCGGAATCACATCTGCAGAGTGATTAACGGACTTGGATTATGTTGTCGACATCGTTTCGTTGTTTGACGATTGATCATTTGTCGGAGCAGAGCGCTCTAAATGGGGTGCGTTTTGCACGTTTCAAGCGTAAAGTCTCCCTTTAGGATATCCCATCCCTTGTAACTGAAACTTCAGAATGAAGAACTGTTTTCCTTGGTCGATTCACGAAGCTTGACCGCGCAATCCGTGATTGTACTGTAAAATTTGGAGTCAATACATGGATAATAAAGACGCGAGCAGCGTTCTCCACATGTATGCCGTCTGAGACGAATTTCGCTGAAGCGAAATGGTTGGGTACTCAGTTCGGGCGTAACAGCGGTCCTACTGTATGTTCGTGAGGCTTGGCCTTCCCGATCCGAGAAACTGAGACGTCTTCAAACTTTTGGCCGCCGTTGTCTCCGTGGCTCAGCAAGAGTTGACTGGTTACATGGCTTACGTGACAGAGTAGTGCATAAGTGTGTACTTGATAACGAATCAAGATCGTTAGACCAGCAGAGTACATTTACCAGGCTAAGGAGATTTGGATCTTTGTTGAGTATGCCCAACCGTTGTCTACCTGAGACGACATTGTTTTCCATTCCAAATCATTGTTGGCGAAACTTTGTGTGGAACTGGCCATGAACTGAAGTTGACTACAGTCAAACTGAGTTGTGTGGGATGTTCGCACCTTCTCGACTTGGATCCATGTGATCCTGTTTGCACGTGGCTGGAGACCCAGTAGGACATGACACGCAACCGATTCCAGGGCCGTTCGTGCTTTCGTTTCGTAGTGGGACTGTTTGGCTAAGTTTCGTGTGTTGTTGTTCGCTGGGCTGGTGTCGGCTAATTTTCACAAATGACACTAAGCGAATCTTGCTGATGGCGCTTTAATTCAACATTATGTTTAAATAAGTTTATTTTAATGCTGTTTAGTGGTGTGGGCATCTTCTTCTTGACGGATTTTTGGGGTAATGGAGCCTCTTCCCACCAAGTTCCCATCCTTCTTGTTGCTCCTTACTAGGACTTTCTTCGCTCATGATTGTGTGTTGGCTACTTGCTACTCTATATTACTGGTGTACTGTTGTCGTTTGCGGTGATGGCAGTGTTGACTGCAAAGATTAGTATTGGGTTCACTACTATTCCTCACCGTCAAAGACGCTGTATCCGCCAGGACTCTCATAACGCCGATGGGTTTGTATGTTCATACAGTAGCTTTCACAACCAATTCAACCCGAGAAAAAATGTGTTCCACTCTTTGGGGCTACAGAAACGAATGCCTATTAATGGTTTGTAGTATGATGCTACTCGAATGTCAGGCGCATTTCAGAAGTAAAGTACACGTTATCCCGGAAGATAACGGCTTCCTGGTCATTTCTTCATAATTTGATTGATGCCAGTTTATTCAACGGTATGGGACGTCATCACAGAAGCATTAGATCCTCTGATTGTAGTCACACATCTAGGAGCTCGAGATAGTCCGGTGGTTAATCCGCTAACTTACTGACAGGAGGGTCCGTTGTCGAATCCAACCTCAACACATCGACTGCTCTTGTCTAGGTTTGAGCAAATTTGCAGTATCTCAGCCACCGTGCGTCTTTGGGTTGGCGCGACTGGTTGGCACCGAAAGGGCATTACAGCTGAAGGGTCGTTTCTTATTTTATTTTCACTCACCATAGCCATCACGGAAGTCAGATACACCCCTGAGGTCTAACTTTAGGCTTACTGCGCTAAAAGTTGTGCAAATTCACAACGGATAAGTCGTCGCCAAGTAATTTAATATCTTCATTTGAAGACCTGGATGAGTGACAAATAAAATGCTCCTTCCCCTCAGAATATTCCAAAATGTCTCATCGACCTGAAGGGGCGTCTTCGAAGGAGACTGGCCAATAAGAGCAATATCACACACTTTCTGCACTGGGGTAATGCTTTTTTTCTGTATCCGGTTTTCGTTAGAATGGGCTGGAATGCTGTTTCATCTTAGTTGAGTGTCTAGGATATTCAGTACTTTTGCATATCTGCGATCGATACACGACAGTGCAACATTCCCAACAAGTCAGTTCCGTCATCTGGTTACTTAGAAACCAGTGCTTGTTTCGTCCAGCGAAGCAGGAATAAGAACTACCGAAAGTGTCTTTCTTGACGGCCGAAAAATCTCCGACCGGGCGAGATTACTTGTCCCAAGCAAAAGCATCTTAATACGACCAGGACAGGTGTGCTAATTATTGAAAACTCAACGGCAGTTTACCTATCTTACGCTATTCCATCCTCTGTTATTAGTTTTACTGTCTTCACTTGTTACTTTAGTAAGTCGTGCTGCGTGAATATTAAAGGTTAAATTATCAGCTTACTCTAGCTACCTCCAATCGGAAAGAGTTCACGGATGTGACTGGCTGCTGTGCCAGCTGTGCTATGACAGACTGTTGATGTAGTTGTGCGCTGACAACTCTGCTGGAGTGACATAGTGTGTCTTCTCTTGAGAACTAGATCAGCTGTTGGAATGCATCAGAACGTCCGGTTCAGTTCTCAAAGAATTGTTTCCCCTAGAAAGAGTCACGATGGAAAAAATCCGGTGCCCCGAGAAGGTATCCTCGGCAAATGAGATTTTTGTCTTATCACAAGCAAACGAGTGGAAGTTTAACACTTCAGTGGGTTGTTTGTGGTCGTATGAAACTTTTGCGGATGGGAATCAAAATGTTTACGCAAATCTGACACGGTTGCCTATAAAAATATAAAACTTCCATCACTATCCGACTCCAGTCTTCATCCGTTTGTCACAATCTAGCAACACCAGAGGATCATCAGACTTAACGGCAACTGAAGAAAGCGCAAGCCGATATTGAAGAAGTCAATGTAATCGACATTCAGTCATCCGGATGCAGCGGACTAACCTGTGCGGTGTTTTTGTGCCATTTTCACGATGCTTGAAGGTGATTTTGTTGAACAGAATCCCTGGAGGGTTACTAAATATCTGTTCTGAGCAGTGGTGCGTAAGGGCTTCAGAAAGCTGCTCTGGTGATAATAGCACACAATGAAGATGGTAGTTACAAAAAATAAAGGGCAAACAATAACAATTACGCAAATAATACCGAGACCAGAAATTTATTAACATGACCATTTTGAAGGCGCCGACATGGATTTTGTCCATCATTATGTTACCAGAACCAACAGATCATTAGTCCACGTGTTCCGCCACTTTGATAAAACCTTTGGACCTAGTAAGTTTTAGCCTTGTTCGTCCTGATAACAGAGCCATTTTTCAATGAGAATCTTTATTCGCCTTTTGAGCATTTCGGGATGGAGTTTATTCTACTGCGATATCACCAATCCCAGACAGGGCACACCCGTCGCATAGTGTGGTGTTGGATGACTCCTCGGAAGACAACTTACTAGGGAGAAGACAATGTGATTTCGTGCAATTTCCTTGTCACAGCACGTATAAGCAAAGATGTACTATTCCGATTTTCCCCTTTGCAGGTTCGTCCAGTGGTTCCAGGTGGTCAGGTTTCCAGAAAGTATGCTGCACTTCGAGCGGTCGGCATTGTTTCCACCCTCACTTCTGCCGGGCTTTTGGGCTATCGTTTGTTTGTATCCATTCCACAATATGATGGACCAGAAGCTAATATGCGGGGCAAGACCGTTCTGGTTACAGAAGCTACAGGTAACGAATTCAGTGACATGACTGTGGTTTGTTCATTAGCGTATTCCTGTTTCACTGCTTGTTTGTCGTTCAAATCGAACTCTTAAATTCTACTTCTCTCTTCAGTGACTCATTTTACATCGTGTGTATTCAAGCTGCGTTTCCGCTGTCGCTTGAACTAGCAGGTTATGATAGAGATACTGCCTTGATGAGTGAAGAAGCCCTGGGATTCAACCGTAGTATAGCGTTTTTTGAAGCGACTGATGACTTTGATTTAACACTGGAATGACAAACGGAATCACTTTCCGATAACGGCAAAATATCCGTTTGAGCAAATTGCTTAGCAATGGAAATCTATAAACAGATGTATTTAGCTACATTGGAAGGGCGATGCAAAGATAGGTCTAGAAATTAAATTATCAAATCCTGAATTTTGTATGCACTTATGAGTATTCCAATACTAGAAATATGGTATTCCGGACATCTGAAAATGTCCGGCACTTTTTTCGGCTCACCGCGAATAATTCGGCTATCAGAACAATCACAATAAATCCTCTATGACGACCGGTGTTGTCAACTTTGTTTGGATGCAAATTGGTAGCAAATTCCTACAGAAAATCCCTACACAGTAGTTATAGGAACATGCACATTCCTAAATCGATCTCAAGATTGAGGGACCAGGTAGTCCAGTGAATAACATCACGCATTCAATTTCCTTCGTGTACGTCTTCAAACTGGCTGAGTTTCCCGTCCTTAAAACTGTGCACATATGTTGTCTCTTGTAATAAAAGCTGTGAAGTGACATTTAGGGTACTGAAGAATGAGGAAAAATGGGAACTACAGGCACTTGACTTACCTTCTTGATGTTACTTTAAAAGGGGTTGTTGGTTGGCCAAGGGAATATCAGTGTCTTCACATTCCTTTTTTATACAGCAGTGAGCCTCGCAGTCATACAGTGGTTCCTGCCATTTCGTGAGCTTTTTGGACGGTCGAATGTCACTCACTAAATCCTGCTGAGCTGTCCGAGCGGATTTTTCGTCGGGTCACTCGTAATTGTGCGGGTCACATGTCTTGCCTCTCAGTTTCTAGTGTGGTGGCAGGTGTCCAGTTATTCCTCTTGATAGGCGCTTAGTCGTCAACCCACCTAGCACCCAAGATACTCAAATGCACTGCCACCCCAACCACTAGGTTGTGCTTCCTACCGCCATACTGCATGATCCACACAGACTCGTGTAAATTTCTACGAGGCTTGATCCCTAAATGCGTTAGTCATCCTTACTTGTATTCTGCTGCCCAGGCCACAGCCCACTGCCCGAAGCCCTTCACTGTACTGGGCCAGAGTGGTTGGTAACTGCGGAAATGGTGCATTTCCTGTGCCATTGTTTTTCCGGTTAAAAATAACTATTCCCATGTCGAGCCCCCACAAAGCGTCCGTACAACTCTATTGACTGATCAACGGAGAGATGATCTTTCAGGGAAAAAAATCGTTCCTAACTGACATGCCACCAGAAGGAAGTGCGCGAGCTGGAATACTGCCATGTTGCCTAAGCCTAGATAGGGGGAGTCGAGAGGCAGTGGTTGGGTTCGAACCACGAACCTTCTGGTCAGTAAAAGCTCTCTAACCACTGAGCCACCTCGCCCCCTTTCATTTAGGATAGATTACATTCCCATATTAGTCCCAAAAATGTCCACATGAGGAAGTGGTCTGTCCCTACCGGGTTTGTTTCGGTAGCTGTTCAGAGTGTTAAAGATCTCAAGTTACTAAGGGACCACTGTAGTAAACTACTGCAGTGAAGCATCGGTGTTGAACACTGATGTCATACTGTCGATGATGATGATGATGATGATGGTGATGATGATGATGACTGTAGTAAGCATGCCATTTAACTAAGTTGGCGATTCTCATAAAACGGTTGAGCATTATGCTTTGTGTTGGGTGGGTGTTCAAGTTTTTTCTCTTATCTCACAGTTTCAGCGGTGTACGTAATGGTTCCAATGCACTTTAACGGGCGATAGTATGATTCAGTGGTGATCAGCCATTGGGAGCGTTTGAAATAGGTTGCCCTTTGTCGATGTGTCTTCTCGGTGTTGAATCTCCCGTCCAAGTTGAACGTGTTCGCCGACTACGGTGGTGGAATACCGTTGTTTTGTAGAATGTCTCTTTAAATCCAGTGATGTTTTCTGACATACGTCGGATGAATGTCGGAAAATATGACTCGTTCCCTAGCGATATGTGCAGTAAATTTATCCGTCACAGTTTGGTCACTGCTTATGAAGCTGTCAAGCTACGTAAACCCATCGACAAATTCCAGCTCCTCATTCCGAAGTCCAAATGAGAGTGAGGAATCCTGAGATAAGACCTTGCACTTCGAGATTGCAAACTGCACGTCGAGACGTGGGGCCATTCCCGATCGTCATCTAACGGAACCATGTCATCCACATATTCTAAGTCCACCAATATTTCCCCAAATGTGATTTGATTTGATTCGCAGTCCCATGCAGAGTACAATCCATGATTTTGTGGATGACAAAGTTGAACACAACTGGGGAGAGAAGATAATCCTGTAGAAGCTCACTAGTCAGATGTAATACATGGATACAGGGTGAGGTGATCAGTTGTTCAGAATAGCTATTCTAGTGGTCAAGACGTTGGTGCTTGGTGCGTTTTAGATCTCCAGTGTTAGCCTTGATTCCTCACTAATAACCAGTTTTCCACGGTCCCGTTTTATTTATCAGGTGAAAAACTTCTTGGGCCTTCCCAGGTGCTGTAGATTCCCCCTATTTCAGAGCCTTCCAATTCCACCAGTTTTCTGTGCATGAGTGGATGTTTAGGAGTCTTTCTGGCTGAATTATGGTCAAAGTTTGAAGGGATACGACATCTCTTGTCTACGAGTGAGAGTGGCTGCTGTGAAATCCACTGTTTATTTCGTGGGCATTCGGGTGTACCTGGATGACGATGCTCACCTTGTCCTACTTACGACTGACGTCTCTTAAGACCCCAACTCGTAAAGGTTCTCACATGCTAGTTTGGTAAGATTGTTTAATCCATGAGTGAGAAAGTTTTCGATGGCTTAACGAAAATTCTGTTTCTTAGTTTTCCCTCGGAAACTTACCGAAAACTTAAACCGAACGGTAGCATGATCTCAATTGACCGGTAGAACGACAATCCAGAAGAGAGCATCACCACCGGCTGTTAATGGCTATGTGGTCAGTCTAGCCCCATAGGGATGCCCGTTAACGCTACGATACCTGCTTCATGTGAATCTACTGCCACGGAAAAACTGTTGGTCAGCATAAAGCTTCAAAACACTAACATTGTCATAACGCCTTGAGTGTAAGCTTGGGAGTCACGTTTCTGATGAACCGAGACGTCCTACTTGTGTGTTGATATCGTCAGCGACTAAGATACTACCTAAGCTTTTCGTGCGGGATAGGACAGTGATTGATTCCTGAATCAGATCTACAGTTGGTGCTTATGCCCAAACGACAGGTAAGGAACACATTATTCTGATCATCGCGGGTTCTTATGGAACTTGTCAAACGAACACCTACGAGAATCGAGAGTAAGCAAGCCTTAGCTCAGGAGCTGAGAGCTATACCAACGACTGCGTGACCCGCTGCAGCAAATACACAACTACCTGAGATTCGTGGGCAGTTGTGTCTACATAACGAAGGTGCCGTGGACCCGATTACTCCACATGGGCCTTGTATTCGAGTTCCACGAACATAACCAACATCCATCGATAGTGTCAAGAGTGCCTGGCGTAGCAACTTGTTGAACGATTTCCTTCAGAATTCGCACATCAAAACTCTCGATAAAACATATGAACGAGGCGTGAAAATTGGACTTGAACCAGAATAATCACCATTTTCAAAAGTCACATTGAGTTGTTTATTCAGCAGGTACTCCTACCCTTTTTTCACACGAGGGACTCTGATAAGTTCCCGACGCCAGTTTTGTTTGGCTCCATCTCAAGTTTAATGAAAATCCTGCGCGCTATCCCAGTTTAAACATGTACTCACCAGAACTAACAATCACCGAAATGTCATAATCCTTCGTATGCTCCGTTACCTGGTATACCCCATTCTAATGAGTGATAGTCTCAGGCGACGTCATGTCATCCGAGCACCCCCCATTGCTTTTTTTCGTTGGTATCTCTTTTCACATTTAATTTCCATATTCATCGATACATTTGTAAACGTAATGTTCAAAGCCCACCTTAAAGGGTGCTTAGAGCTTGTTTCTGACTTGGTAAACTTGGTAAAGTATTATATTATCCGTTCAGGGTATGTTTACGTTAGCACAGCCAAGTTTTAAGCAACTCACAGCGAAAGCGTCCCAGTTTCGACTCAAACTCCATCCCTTTGACGGGCGGGTCGGTAAATCTTAATCAAATGGTACATTTGCCCGCTACCCAGTTTTCAGCAACAGGTTATGATGGTACCTCAATATTTTGCCATTATCTCTTCACTTAGCCAAGCAGGTAGTTCATATTCGTGTGTGTGTATACCTATATATATACCTATATATACCTACCTATATCGTGTGTACTGCGTGTGGTTGAGCGCAACACTTGGAACGCTCTTCGTTGGAGACGCCGTAGATAGGAACAATGTGTGAGAGTTTGGTATCCGTGATAATGAGTGGTATACCTGTCAGATAATGCGTATTAGCTGCCATATTCGTATCACTTTCACGTAACAACGTGTCCAGCAATCGGTTACTTGATCCACGGGGTCTATCGGAATGCCAACCTCGCTTTGTTCTGCTCCCCCCACGCGTGGTTTAAATACTTCAGTTGGGCACAATTTTACTAGAGTCTTACTTCTTTACCGTTCTGTTGTATCCTTCAATTTTCTAGCCCGTCCTACCCGTGACCTTCTTCGAAACTTGGCTGAACGAGGAGCTCATTTAATCCTTACTTCGTCGGATCCTGACGCGTGTACAAAGGCTCGTGACAAAATCCTGCGAGCCACCAACATTAGTGGCAGCCGCGTTGATTGCAGGCAGTTGAATCTGGATAGCACGGTTTCAATTCGTCGGTTCGCTGCCAGCCTGTTGGCCGATTACCCACGCATTGATCGCGCAGTATTACAGTCTCCAAGTTGCGTGACTGGAATCGTGGCTGGAAAGTGGCGCCCCACTCACGAAGGCTTCGAGTATCAGTTAGGTACCAATTATTTCTCCACCTACCTACTTACCCGACTCCTTTGGAATCGGTTAGATGAAAATGGGTCTCGCTTGATTCTTGTGGTGGATACGGATGCAGCCAGTGAAGCACGGACTGAAGCTCCTCATCGAACAGCTGGGCAGGTCGAATTACCGATCAATGACTTAAATTATGACAAGGAGGAAAAGTATATACCGAAGAAGGTATACCAGAGGTCCCAGTGGTTTCTGGAACTATTTGCAGAGTAAGTTGATTCTTGTTCGAACGATAAGTCATGTCGGATTGGAGTATACCTTCTGAATCCACAAACGGGCCCGAAGTTTGCCACATCATCATCATTGTCAGCTGTAAGAACCGCGTACTCGTCGTACACTGGTTGTAGCTGCCACAGTTTCGTTCACCGATGATTGCGGGGGGGGGGTAGGTAGCTGCGCATTGCACGCGCGAGCTGGTAAATTGGTGCATAAATCCAGCACTGTCAGTGGGTTGTCAAGCGGGGGGGGGGAGGGGAACTGAGACAAGTCACGGGGGATTTTACAAATACACTCATTTGCGTGCCAATTTGGTTTTTATGAGAGGCTCATATGAATCCCAGCCAAACCTTGTTTATGATGTGCAATTTGGGTTTCAATAGAACATAAGGTTGATGGGAACTCGGGGACTGCGCCTACTTGATGAACCCCAAGAAGGGCGAAACCGGTCTTGGGCTGTCTAAGAGTTTTCGGCGTGTTACGTCCATACAGGGTACATTTTACTCCAAATTTCAATGCACAATCAGCATGACAGGATAGTCTTTGGGTTCCTGCGATCAACAATTCACTAACAACCTATTACACAGGCTAGACTCGGGGAGACTGTGTCAATCGAAATGTTCACCCAGTTGTGCGAGAATGCTACATAGGTGATAAAACTTGCATCTTGTCACATGAGCGTCAGGTTACGGGATACGATGGTGCATAGTGTCACCAGACCCACTATTAAAATACAACCGTAGAAAGTGCATCGCACAGTTTTCCTTATCTATATTCGTATTCCCGCAACTGCTTATTTGATGACTAGCAACCCAAGCCAGAAGCTCAGAAGGACAACCAGCTTTTGGGACGGCCATAATAACCATTTTTAGATTATCCTTTTTGGTAGAGGAGGTTGATTGTTTAGCCACGCGTTTACGCACAGATATCTTCCTACGCTGGCGACACCGAACACAGCTGTTCTCAACAATCTATGTTCTGACTAAAATTCATTCTGATACTATTGGATCTCCAACAATTCATGTTGTTTTGCCGAGTTTTTATACGTGCGCACGCTCACGCTTCTCCTCGGTCGTCTGATGACAGTACTGTTCCTTGTCACAGTAATTCCCAAGAAGAGACTTCTCTATATAGTGATGAGCCCGTTTGCATGGATTACTGTATATACGGAAAATGCCTGGGTGCACCGGATGCCAACCAGACGTGAATATGGTTGGTTCACACGAGGTTAGCAAAAAGCAGAGAGATGAATACCACAGTTCATGCGAAATCGGAGTGTCACCACTATGGATATGTGGTGCGAACTTATTGGTTACGCTACTGGTCATTGCCCTGTGTTAAGGCAGAAGGGTGGTAAAGCGACTACGAAAAGTTTGCTGTTAATGCGATCCTCCATCCATAATGGGGTTCCGGTGACTCAATACACTTGACTTGAAACATTGCAAGAAATGGCAGCTAGTCGATAGCAGTGGCGTTCATGCTGTCGGTTTCTTTCTAGATTGTCTGATTGGTCGCTTGGAGATGTAGGCACCTGAGAACGCTCGTGATAGTTCCCTAGGGTCTCCCTCACCCACTATCTTCTATTCAATTAAAGGCTGTACGGTGGTGAAGCGAAGGCCCAGCACTTACGACTGATGACTCCGTAGCAGGACAACAGCTGCTCTTGCACTTACACTGGACTCGCTTGGCATTGATATGTGCTGTGTCTCAGAAACGAGAATTCAAGATGCAAGCAACGTG